GTGTAGCAGGTAAAGTCGGATTATTTGGAAGAGAGGGGAGGCGTCTTAGGCAAGTAGGCTATATTATTATTATTACTACTACTACTACTACTTAGTAGGCTTTGCTGCTATGAGTTAAATTAATGTGGTGGGCTTATTCTTTTCTGAAGTCTAGTTTTAAGAATAGTGGAAGTTACACTTGTTTTCTTCCTCCATTTCTGGCGCCCCCTGGATGTACGGCGCCCTTGGCATTTGCCTATACTGCCTATGCCACGGGCCGGTCCTGGACAAAAGTTCCTGAGTCCCGTCAAATTTGCAGTTAGATGAGTTTTTTTTCTCCCCGCTGTCTCCAAGCGCTTGTTCAAGAGGGATGTGTTCAGTTGTCCTCTATAATAATGGTAAGGTCTAGAGTCTAGACCTTACTTTGTAAAGTGTCCTGAGATGACTTTTGTTGTGATTTGAATTTGATGTGGCCTTCCCAGTCACCAGGTCTCAGCCCAGTTGAACAGCTACGGGAGATGTTAGACGGCGTCTCCACCACCATCATCAAAACACCACATGAGGGAATATCTGTTGGAAGAACGATGTTCATCCCTTCAGAGAGTCCAGAGACTTGGAGTCAGTGCCAAGGTGAAGCTGTTCTGGTGGCCCAGCACCTCAATGGGACTCTGTGTGTTGGGTCGTCCTTTCACTTGTCACCTGATTATAACACAAGGGAGTTGTAGGATGTGGTCAGAGGGACAAGGTTCTCACAGCCCCTGTGTATTGATGGTTACAGTTTAAACCAATTGGCCTCTTGCCTCCAGTGCAATAGGGGAAGAAGGATCAGTCACACAGACACTTAAGAGAAATGACTCTTTTATTATGGCACAACACAATTACGCTCACAAATAAACACACACCAGTCTTGGGGACAAGAACAGCACGAGTCTCTCACAGTGCAGCACAAAACAGACAGGAGGACTCCTTTAGCTTCAGTCATGTTTTACTAGTTTTCTTCACCTCAGACTCCAGAATCAGATGTTGATTATGCTCTGAATAAACAGTACAGCTGCTCCGACAAAACACTGCAACTCATCGTGGATTCCTGTTGAAGTGCTTGCAACATATACAGTGAGTAGGTGGCTGTTCAGCTTTGTTTCTTCCAATGTAAAATCTCTCTGGGTAGAATCCTTCATTTGTTCATCTGTTTTCTTAAGTTTATTTTAAGAAAAGGCAATTACATGAAGATTTTCTTACAAATCATAAGCTAAACTTTTAATCAGTGTGATTAAAGCCAAGATTCCCTATAAGTAAATTAAAAAAAGCGTCTACAATGTGCAACAGTGTCCTTAGAAATGAGCAGTGAGCTGCAGACTCTAAAATGGATTTCAGTATTAACACATCAGTTTTGTACCTTTGTATGTGGTTTGTGGGCTCCATTGCTGCCCCTGGTGTTAATCAAAATGATACAAATTAAGATGTCAAAAACCTGGTTATCATAACACAGAAATTACATTCGCACAAGGATGGTGGTGTGACTTTAAAACAATTAACCACGGTTTTGTTCTATGTTGCAAGTTCTTGAGGCAAATATATAATTCTTAGATTTATAAATAAAACTGTCAAGTAGAAATTTTTCAGCTTCAATTAAAGATCTTTGCTTAACCTGAGGCTGCATGATTCCACTTAAGTAGAGAAACTAAAGAAAAATGTTTGGAGATCAGTCAAGAGTGTGAATGTTCATATAAAGCTTGTAAATATGTTACTAGCTACACTTGTTGTTGGGGGGAGACAGACTGCTCAAATGTGCTCTGCATTCAGTCTGAACACACCTTAAAACAATCAGCCAGTGTAGCTGGTTATGCAGCAGAGTAACACACTGGGCGCCCTAATGAACACAGAGCTGCAGGACATGAACAGAGGAACCAATTTCAATTGTAGTTTTGTCTTTTCACGAGATTATTTGACAAAAAAAGTAACCCAGCTTCTCCTTTAACCTCTGCTGTGAGTTTGTAATGGGCAACGACATGACTTTGTCCCACTCTGAGGTCACAGGGTCTCAAACAGCCACAGTTGCTTGGCCAGGACAAATCAGCACCTAAAACCAGGTAATTAGACACAGTGGACACACACACACACACACACACACACACACACAGTTTGTACACGACGGAGGAACTCACATACACATGCTCACCAAAGCTTGTGCACATACACACACTAAACGTGGTGAGTTAATAAACACACGTAATCAAGAATGTGAAAGTCATTGGCAGTGCGTGGAATATTAATCATATTTTTCCTTTTAGAAACTGATCTTTTTCTTCACTTGTCAGATTTATTGTAGATTTAGGCTGAACTTGTCGTTAATCAGCCTGTCACCATTTGTCTCACTCCTGCTTCTGTGAATCGACTGCATGGAGTGGAGGTGCATTAGTGTTTTGCATGAGCTGAACAGTCTTTCTTACAGCAGGGCACTTCTCAGAAAAACATCCGATACTCTACAGAACACAGTGCACTACTTTGTGGTTTGGACCATAAAGTAGTGCACTAGAAACATGAGTACAGAGTCTATGGAGACATGTGCCTTCAAAATGCAGAGGAGTGAGACGACAGGTGTGGGCAGTTTAACTCCGGGGCAGGAGGCCCTTCTTGTAGGCCACCAGGCCGGCTGCAGTCATGACAGACAGGAGGGTGGAGATGCCCATGAACTTGAGGAGACCACCGACTGAAGGCAGGTTCCTCTCCCAGAAGGTAGTGACAAACGGGACTGCTGGGACCTCCTGGTGGAGTGGCACAGGGAGGGGAAGGTCACATTTATTCGATATCTGAGTTTGATGTTGCATATAAACATTGAGAAAGACTTCCCCTCACCATACACTGGGGCTCCGACTGCCAGATCTGACTGTGGGAGATTTTACCCATCGCACACATGACCTGCAACAGAGCACATCGGGTGGTGAGTGAGGACGCTGCCGTTCAAGATCTAAACCTTTAATTTCAACACATGCGCTTATGTGATTCTCTGGTCCTGAGCTCACAGCAGAGCCTGAGCTAAACCACACGGAGAAACGTGAACCCACACAAATGGAACAAACAAACTGTGGATGCTGGATTGTATTTAGATGCTGATGAACCTGCTGACCTCTCTGGCAGCTCTCTCTCCAGCTTGCACTGCCCCCTCCATGTAGCCGCTCCATTCTGTGGCCGTCTCTGTGCCTGCAAAGTACAATCTGCCAACCGGCTCCCTCAGCACCCTGGAGACAAAAGACAGAAGCTGAGTGATAACAGAGTTTCGGCTGATTTATACAGTTTAAAAGTGGCCTTTAATTAAATATACTGCCATTAGTTTTCCCCTGACCACAATTACTATACAAGAATAGCTGTAATGAATTAAATGATACTGCATTATATTTGTGTAAATGAATCTTTTATTTAAAGTACATTTTCTCCTACCTAAACAAATGGAATGATGAATCAACTTATTCAAAAAGCTACTACCCTGAGTGAATTTCCTGGCTTTATTGAATTAAATCACTGTTGTTGGATTGCAACCTCTTTTCTGCTTTGTTTAAAGAGGAACAAATGTTTTGTCACAATCACAATGAGTTGAATAATGTTTGTGAAAATAGCCAAACCTGGAGATACAAGGTCTTCACAGGACAGAGAAGAAAAAAGGGTTTAAAGCCATTAAAGGACCAAAAATCTGATAAAACCAGCCTGGATGTGGACTCATTAAACATACAGTGACCAGCCACTGCAGAATGACCATGGAACATACATGTGTGTGTGTGTGTGTGTGTGTGTAACTTACTTGCCAAACTGGGTAAGGATTCCCGGGGGGAAGTAGACGGTGTAGCAGCCCCCAGAGTATTCCTCTTCACACCAGTTCTTCTCCTCGTAGTGCACCGGCTGGCAGAGCAGACACATGAATGGTTTAGCTAGTGGTGCAGGTCCACTATCGCTGTATGTGTAACTGTGTGTTAGTCTGCATCCAAACTCACGTGCAGCGCCTCCTCTGAGCCCAGCACTCTGGAGTAGATTTCACAGATCCTCCTCAGCCTAAACACAACAAGACGAGAGCTTGGATTCAGCCCATTTTACAGCTTGCGAGTGTGCATTAATCTGCTTTTACTGTCTGCACCGGTCATTAACGCTCTTCTCTGGTCAGCTCTGACAGTTTTCTGCACTTGTGGGCGAGGATGAATCTGGAGCAGAGGGGAGAGAGAAACATTTCCTAAAAGATAGGCCACTAGATAGTGAACAAGCAAGTTGCACATTGTGTACAGTTTGACGCACTGGCCACGTACTTCTGTGTACTTTTGATCGGTTTTGTTTTTTTGGTTAACCATTCAAGGAAATCTTGATGCTTTTAACAACAGTGTGTCTCCAACTTCATGGCAGCAGTGTGGAGAGTCCCTTTCCTGGTCCAGGTGTGGCAGCCTCCCCACAAAGCTGGGTGTTGTTATACCAGGATATTCAAGAATAAGTCTGGCCATGTTCGGTATTTTAATTCTTGTCATCTAGTCCCATGAAAAGACCCAAACCAACAATGAACTGATCTTACTAACAAGTACTGTCAGTCTGCCAAACACAGAGCTCCACAGTCAGACTGGCTGACGTTCTTTCTTTACTGTAGTTTGAGTCAGTCTCATATTAGAGGGTGGATACCCAGACTGAGCCAGATGGGACCCATTGACAGCTGAGGATTCAGGTCGGGTTTGGCCACCTAGGTCAAACTTCATGCTAAACAGGTGCAGTTGCACAAAATATTTCACCTGTAAATGAATCCATGCTCCTTTAGTTCTATTTAAAGTGCTAGGCCTATTAAAAGTTTAAATGATGAGCTGCTTAAGTGCATGACAATGCTATCCATGATACTAGATGCACTAGAGCATAGTAATTCAATTTCATTTTATTTGTACAGAGCCACATCACAACAAAAGTCAGCAAGGACACTTGACCTAGTAAGGTCTAGACATTATTATAATTATTATTAGAAACACACCACACAAACTGCACTGCGTCGGGTTCCATCCTCTGTCCCACGTACACATCCTGCTCACTCACCACTGAAAAGTGGCCTCAACAAAATCACTAGTTCAACCTGTTAGGAAATTAACGAGTTAGGTGTTTTTGTAGCCATTTAAAAAGATTCAGTCAGAAACTGGTTTGGTGAGGAGCGCCACAGGATCCACACACTATGGAAATCAGAAGGTATTAAGAGATGGACCAACAAGGTGTTGTTTTTTTCCTTTTCATATAACTTGCAGATATTTGGAAACATATAAATGTTATGCCGGGGTGTCCACAAACCTTTGGTTATGTCACTTACCCCATAATAGCAGGTACGGTCCCATCAGGCTTTGTGTCGTCCAGCGTCAGGCCAATGGGAGAGCCATCGTCCTCAATCACCATACTGCCACAGTAACCTGGATACACACATGAAAAATAGAATAAAAGCAAAACAACTCATGTACAACAGCAAACCCTCTGTGCCGCTTCCACCGCACCCTTTTTCCTCCAGAAGTTCTCTTTGTAGTAGACCATGCACTTGATGACGGAGCCCATGGGGACGCGGTGGATCAGCTGGTTCCTCAGTGGGGGCAGCTCAGGGTTAAAGTGCATCTTCAGATTCAGACCAGGAGGGGTGGCCACGATCACGTACTTGGCCTAAGACAGACAGAGTAAGGAGAGGGGAGGCCAGGACGGTGCGAGTAGGAGGTTAGAGAACAACCAGCAGGTGGCAGCACAGAACACTGCTGCTGGTTTTTCCTTTTGTCCATAAGGACATGTTATACCTACATCCTGCCAAGTTATGCAGTGTACTTGTACTGCATGTTTTTTTTTCAAATTTTAGAATGTCATTGAATGTTTAGTAACTAGTAGCTAGAGCCTAAACTACATTTACCTGTGAAATGTAGTGGAGAACAAGTATAAAGTAGCACACAAAGGACTCAGATAGAAGATAGATACTCAAAGTTATACTTCAGTATAGCGGTTGAGTGCTTTGTATGGCTGCAACAGCCTCAGAATCCTCAGGTTACCATGTAGGTCTGCTGGTCCACCGTCTGCACCGCCACCATGTCTCCGGTCTGGTCAATCCTGCAGACTGGGGACTGCAGCTTCACCCGGTCGCCCAGCTCTTGGGCCATGCGCTCACTGATCTGACTGGAGCCACCAACAAACTTCCGCTCCTGCAGAGGTGGCCGAGAAGAGCACAGGTCAGTCACTGAGCAGGGTGTACTAGTTTGAGCTTAACCACAGAATGCAGCAAGACTATCATCTACTTGCAAGGGTCTCAGTTTATATTGGGTTCAATTGCATCTGATCCTGCAGCTCTGCCAGGCTAATAAAACCTACATGTAGGAAAAAGTCCATTGAGTTATTTCAGGGTTCTCCTCAATATACCCTCTTTTCCTCACTACACATTTCTCTAATTGATAGGAAAATGGGTTTGCAAAGCTCAGGATAGTGGCATGTGTGCGGTTGGACAGAGAGATTAAATGCTGCTAAAATGACAGTGGGCTTTTCCATGTGGTTAGTGTCAATGTCTCTCATCTCCCTGATCAGAAACACACTGGGTGCATGCCACTGTGGCATCTGGAAGATGGTTCTCACTGGTGCACCACCAGAACCACTTCAGGTTCTGGCAGTGCTTGTCTTCCTTGGTTAAAGACAGCTGAAAACCGTGCTAAAAGTGAAGAACACCAAAAGGGTTTTTCATTATAGGAACTTACTGAAATGTGTCGCATCGAGTAACGCTCACCCGCTTTGGAGGTGGGTTCTGGGAGCTAAATTTCAGCACCCCTCAGGAGGTAGTACCAAAATCATGCACTTACTACAGAAACACCTGTTTTATTTCCCTTATAGTTGGCACTTGGTTACACAGCACTTTCTTGGAAATATCCCACTTATTCACAGCTACTTACCAGCTCACTTTTAGAAAACTGTGATGAAACTTAGCAGGAAATTAGCTGGAAGAACGGCCTACCGTTCCTAAAAACATGACACGTGAAACTGAAGTATTCTGTTTGTATTGTTCAGTGGGAATCAATGAAGCTCTAGGAATGGATGTCGTAATTAGTTTCTTCAAAAGCTGTTTCTCATGTAACTCACTAATAGAGAAACGCTGCCACAACCAGGTATGTACAGGTTGAACTTTAGACAGTGCACATACGCACATTCATGCAGACCTACCTGGCCTCCATTAGTGGTGGAGAAGATCCTCATGGTTCCTCCGCACTGTTTCACATACCAGAGGAACCAGAGAGCCGACACCTCGTGAGGTTCAGAAGTCACATTCACGTTGACGAACAGTGTGGCGAAGTGACGGACAGTCCTTGGAGACAGAAAGAGGGATTAAAGGAGCAGTTTAAAATGCGATGGGTGACAGATTAAAGGACAAACTATCACACAGGGACCAGCTGGACCTTGTTAGTGCCGTGTCTCCAGAGCAGCGTCAGGTCTCCTCTGCTGGAGGGAGGAAACATTCCTACAAACCTGATTCCCTCACACTGCATCATCCTTATTAAGCCATTCAATACAATGATCCCAACATGTAAAAGGGATAACTCAGGAATTTCATGTAGGATTTCTTCAGTCTGACAGACTCTGTAATTTCAAAGTAAATTAATGATTTGTGCTCAGTTACCAGATGTGTATGAATGCATTCGCTTCAGTCAGAGGGAATACATGCATTTCTCCGGAGAAGGAGGCTGGTCTACCTAAACTACTCTACAGACTATGACTTACTGACAGTAAGTTCAACACTGTTCATTTTCCCAAAGCCCTGGTGCCAGAAGCTATAATCACACCCATGATCATGTAATAATTTTGTGTGCGACATTCAAGACATTTGTTCAAATACAAGTACAGCGTACTGGATGAACTCCAGTTTCCTAGTTTTGCAGGTGACTGCACAGACTCTCTCTCTCCTAATTTCTAGTGTTCTAGCTTTGTCACTGTCAACTATCCAGTAAAAGTGAAAATGTCAAAAAGTAAAATGAAATAAAATTAAAAAAATTGGTCTTTCTCTTGTTAGTTAAGTCACACCAGGGCTTCTGATGTCATTTAGAACGACCTGGACTTGTAAAAACACTCAGCGTCAGTTAGCTGTTCACAAGCAGTACCAGCTGATGTGAGCCAGGCCTCACGAAAAAGAGATCTCAGAAGAGCTACGATCAAGAGTTGTTGGTTTTCAAGTAGCTGGAAAGAGGAACAGGGTCGCGTCACTGACTTTAGATATTCACCAGTCCACAGTCAGACGATGTGGTGCTGTGGCTACTCTCTAAGAAGTGGACGCCCAGCCAGGATCAGTCCAAAGGCACAAGGCAGAACCCGTTAGGTAAAGAAATGTCCTGGACTAACAGCTAAAAACTTGAAGGATTGGAGCTGGTTAACATCTCTCTTCATGAGTCGACCATATACAAAATACTAAACAGACACGGTATCCATGACATGACAGCCACCGCTCTCCAAAAACAACACTGCAGCTGCCTGAAGTTTGCCAAAGACCACCCTGACCCTCCACAACACTACTGGGAAAATGCTGAAGTACATCTACTACAGGATCCTCCTTTTGGAGCATCCCAATCAGAGCCTGGACCTCAGCCCAACAGAGAGGCTGTGGAACAACCTGAAGATGTTCACACCAGAAATCCTATGAATATGGCTGAGCTGAAGCAGCTCGGTCAGGAAGAATGGTCCAGAATTCCTCCTGGACGCTGTGCAGGTCTGATCCACAGCTACAGGAAGTGCTTGTTGAGGTTATTGCTGCCAAAGGTGGTTCAACCAGTTATTAACACACTGCTACCATGACTTTGTCCACCATCACTGTGTATGTTTAATGTGTTTGATAAAGACATGAACGATCTGGACTGTTTGTGTTACATCAGCTACATGAATGATCTGGACTGTTTGTGTTACATCAGCTTAGATACATTGTTTCTTGATATTTGTGACTTTGCTGAAGACCAGATCACATTTCATGACCACTTTATGCAGAAAACCAGGAAACTGCAAACAGTTCTGGGACATTTTTCTCGTGACTGTAACTATTAAAAGAGTGCATGTGAATACATACAGCTACATACAGCACTGTGTTGTGTTGCCGAGACGGGAACAGTCTGATGATGATCTCCTGGGCACAAGGAGCTGAAGGCAGCACTGCAGGAACAAAACAACAACGACAGCAGTAGTGGCATTCAGAGTGAAGTGGCAGCTGATATGCAGCATTTCAGACTGTGTAACACTAAAATCCTCCAGAAGAGCAACACCAGCTGCATTAACATCGCATCAGGAAGCACAAAGTTTAGATGGCGTAGTCGTCCTGAGCGGCGGGGCTGAAGGCAGAGCTCCGCAGCACATCCAGGCAGTTAACCAAGATGAGCGTGCCAGTCAGGTGCTTCCAGCGTTTGGTGATTGGGTTCTTCATCTTGTCCAAGCCCATGTGCAGCTCCTGGATCACATCCCTGTAGCTGTCGCCGATCTGGGCAGCCCATGTGACCAGGAAATCATACGCCGGCTTCCACATGGCCTGCAGAAGGAGAGAGGAACCATCTCATGTCAAGGTTTCTGAGACTTTTAATACCTTTTTAATAACACCCAGATTGACATTTAATACAATAGCATTACTGGTTCGTTTCATCTAATATCCTTTTGTATCTGTGGCAGTTGTACACTGACAAGAAGGGACCCTACCATTACGTGCAAACATCAAACAACAAAATACTCCCATTGTCAATCAGAATGAAAGAGACAACAGTTTTACCATCAAGGGATCTAATCCTGATGCGCATGAGGATTGTTTACCAAGTGCATGAATTTGTGAACACACATGTATATCACATATTTGTCATTACATCCCACTGCTGTGTAACAATCATTTCTACAAATATCTATTAATGATCATTAAAGTGATCTGGACCTGGACAAACTAAAGAAAATGGATGGTCCACATATGATGTTTACAGATCATCAGAGGTCTGGGACTGTGGTAGTGGAAACACAGACATACTGGTCACCCTGCTGAAATCAATGTTAATCTCCATACCTCGCTGTCCACCACCCCATTCCTGTCACGATGCGGTGCCTCATAAGCATCCATCTGCTGGCGCGAAACCTTGGCCAGCCTCTCAGCCAGTTCCCTCCAGCGCCCAGCCAACTCCACAGCTGTGGTCAGCAGGACAAAGTCCATGACCAGCCTGGCGACGAGGCCCTGACAGTCCATCTTCAACAAAGCCTGTAGAGAAAAGACACACATAACAGTAGTAAATGATGGAGCTAGGTGGAGATTAGGATCTCAGGATGTGGAGCCACATGGGGCCTGAAGTGTAGAGAAAATTAAGACATGAATTTGACTAAGGATCAGAACACGGGTAAGCGAGGGAACAACAGTGAACTGTTACCAGGGAATCTGGTGAAGACAGGAGCTCAGCAGAAGTCAGTGAAGCTGGAATGAAAGCACACACTACAAATAAATGTCCATCCACAGGTTTCATTCCACTGACTTGATCCACAGCCTGCCTGCTCTCTCACCCTGCAGCTCTCAGCTTTGTGCATTCTTCAAATGCTTTCTGGTGGAAACAGAAATAAGCACCACTCAGGATTTATGTAACATCTGAACTGAGGGGAGGAGGACGCCTGAGGAGATACAGTACAGACAACAATTTGTAACAGGACACAGCTAGAGCTGTATTCAACCAGATTAAAGTCTCCGAAAGACAACACACTGAAAATTTAGCTGGAGTTTGTCCTCAGGGTGGAGTTCAAGAAAACATTAGGATCAGTAAGGAATAATAACTGTCAAGCTTTTCTGGTCTCCACCAAAGCTTGGACAGCTGAATGTCTCCATCCTCAGGCCCCACATGACAAAACATGAGGAAGAAAAATGCAACGTGCCAAAGAGGCTGTTTGTTTGGGTCTAACCCATCTGGACAGGAAGCTCCCATCTCCCTATAACATCTCTGTCTCCATCAGTTTTGCCCAGGTGACGGGTGTTTGTTGGTGTGGAAAAAGGAAACGCTTTGGAAGCTCAGTCTGTTCCAGCAGAAATGTGGCACATACAAATACAGGTGCATTTGCACTGCTGCAGACACACACACTCATTTGTACATTCACATTCACACACGTACATGAGTGTGTGCACACAGTTGCACTTACAGTACTTACTTATTTATAGTTGTGAGAACAGTGCTGATTTAAATGATACACTCCCCAGAACCTAAAGCTAACCTGTTCAGCATTTTTAAAAAATCAGGTTATAAAACTCCTTCCTCAGTTTTGAAAAATGTCCTCACGTTGCCAAAATGATCTCACTTTCTAACACTGTCCTAACTTTTCCAAAGTTTCTCCATGTTAGCATTAATTATTTTCCACCCTGACTGTAATAAATTTCCACCAACTCAAACTAGTCGTCACAAGAAAAGAACAACACACACACACACAGAAGGCTGGACACACTTGGATGCAGCCTTTGATTTGCAGATTCAACTGATCCCACATGCAGGAATGTGAGGAACGACAGGATATGAAGGGGGAGGGAGGGTGGAAGGCGGACAGGGGGTGAGGAATGCAGATACCACGCTCCAGCAGCCTCACTCACTCAGAGACGAGACCCGAGGATGAGATAACTGTTCTCCAGGAATGTTAAACCGCCACCACCAGAGAATCAAAAGCAGAGGCCCATTGATAGACCAGTTCTGGACAAACTCTTCAAGTTTTATTTTGCCTTTGAGTCACCATCACAGAACATTTGGCAGATACACCCTTTGACAAGTACCTGACAATGGACAATGATGACAGGAAATCCCTGTCAAAATAAAGGGGATTATTCCTTCTTTTGTTACTACAGGTCATCAGACAAAAGTGCTGCTTGGTAACAATATCATGCTTTTTTTATTCAGTGCATTCACTGCAAGGAAAAAGGTAGATACAGAATCAACAACTTGTGTTATATTCTGAAAACAGGACCCCAACAGCTTAGTCCAACCTGACTGACTGGAAATATAACATCCAAAGCATGATGGGAACTGTAGGGACAAAAGTCTAAATATATTCATCCAAAATGAAATAAAATACACAGGGGAGACAAATTCAGCACAATTTATTTTTGTTTTATATGACAGGCCTGTTCTCTCACAAAAGGTCCATGATAATGTTAAATTTCTATTTCAGTTTCAAGAATGAACTGGAACACAAAAGTTGGGCAGTTAACCCAACAGAAATGTTATGAGAGCACAGTTTTACATCGGGTCCATGTCACTAAACAGAGCTGTAAGAAGAAATTTTGTGAAGCTGCACTTTCATCTTTTCTCGGCTCGTCTTAGTGGTCAGACACGTTCTAAATTATTGTTGGTGGTGTAGAGTATGTATCACTGAACGTTGCGCTCTGCAAGTCCCCGGCCTGATTTTAGACTAATTGCGCTGTAACAGAGCTTGATGCGCCGTCATTACTGCACACACACAGCCCTCTGCAGCTGTGGAGGAATGAAACGCTGTGCTGTTTCTCTAAATCATCAGCTGGTCGATTTGGACTCTGTGTGTATGCTTTAGGTAAATGCCACAGAGTTTGTTTCACTAGCTCAGCAATCAGTGCGGCTCCCCCTGCTGCATAAATCATCTGCCTGTCAAAATGAATAGGAAACTCCTGCAGACATACTTTCAGAGATAAGGCTGGTGTGGAACGGGCGGGTCAATCACGTCTATCGTTACACACCGAAACACACTCCCTCTGCTTTTACATTCAAAGAGAACAGCAAGGCTGAACCTTGGTATTACCAGCACTGAGGTTTTTGATAAATGACTTGCTTCTTCCATCATCCTGTTTCTGTTTTCCCTCTCAGCTACAAAACTGACCATCTCTCCCCTTCAATCTGTTTTATTATTTTTCCATCTTACCTCCTCCACCTTCCCCATTTGCAGCTGTTACACTCCATCATTCTCGCTCCGCAGTGACTTTACAATTTCATTCCTTTCCACATTTTGATTTAAACCTGCTTTCTTGTTTCTTTTCACAAACAAACCTCAAAAACCTGGGGATCTGGGGAGAGATTAAAGACTGAACTTCATGAACAGGCTCAGAAATAAAACTTGCACATTTCCAGACAAGGCCAAATCTCTGCAGAGTGAGTAATCTGTTGTTCAGTTAATTATACCAAAAGCACAGCTCACCACACCCAACACTAAAGGAGGGTAGAAGAGGAAGTGAAGGGAAAAAGAGGAAGGAGGCCGGGAACAGTGGAACCAAAATGTTGATCTGTGTACAAAAATGGCAGAGAGCCATAATGGGCCTGGTGGTCTCCCCAGTGTTCAGAGACCTCCTCTAGATATAGAATGTTATTATTACTCCCAGGCCCAATCTGCCACACTGATCTCACTGCAAATAATTCAGGGGGGTCAGACGCTCTGCTGTAGAGCTGAAATGAAAATCCCCTTTTAGCAGAGAAACAACAAAGCTTCCACCTTTGAGGTCTCATGCTTCATGAATTCATGGAATCTGCAGTCAGTACACTAGTGTCTGGCTGCAAGAAGAGGAAGAACAGGAGCAGCAGGAGGAGGGCTTCCCCTGGTGCGTCTCTTTCTACACTAACAGAAGCGTTGGAGGGATTCCGACTGATGCTGCAGGACTGAAGTTCAAAGTGGGAATCAGGTTGTTTAGTGCTGCAACTAATGACTTTTGTGATCAAACAGAACATTTTCTTCCAACCAAATACAGTATGTGAAACTGAGGGGGACTGTGTACAGAATGAGTTCCTGTACATGCACCATAAAATGCATCAGTGCTGAGACGGTTAATCAGTTAATCAGTCCATAAGAGACAGTGGATAATTGTTTAAAAATTGTTTAATTGTTTAAAAATGCCACTGCCTCCTAGGCAGCTGGAGCTGCTGTTCCCAAACAGCCAGGAGGAAAAGATGTTTAACTGTCACATTAATTACATCTCATTTTAATTTTGATCCTTGTGGGTATCTACAGCAGCTGGAGAGACTGCGACACGACCTGTAAAGACTCACTCAGAATTACCCTCATCAGTGCAGCATGCTTTGTTGAAATCATGTCGTTTACTCACATTATGAAATAAGGGGAACAATAAGACGCACGTGCATCACGTGTCACGTATCTGACTGTGTCTCTAAAGTGGTACTGAGTGAAGTCCTTGGAGCTGCTGTTCCCAAACAGCCAGGAGGAAAAGATGTTTAACTGTCACATTAATTACATCTCACTTTGTCTGAATTTAACGCCCATCTTTTATTTATTTCATTGAATAAACATGTACTTCTACCTGCCATAACATTTTCTTAGCCACCCAGTGGTACAGCAACAGAAACAAACTGTAAGTAAGGATACATCACTTTTAAACAGACTTGTTAGCAAAGCGTTGCTTCTCCACATATTCAGCAGGCACAGAGCAACATTATCATCCACCAGGAGCCATGTCCATGTCGTCCTGATGAGCCTCAGCCCAGTTGCCTCTCTGTTAGCTCTGGGTTTGGTCTCCACCTCCTCCTGAGGGAAACCTCTGGCTCTGGAGCTGCTAAACGCTCCACTGTGTTCACCAGCTGGTCTCTGACAGGCTCTGTCTGCTGTTTGCTGCTGAGCAGGTCATGGACAGCAACAGAGCGTCTCCCCTGAAAACAGCTGCTTCCTGCTGCAGCCTAAGACCACACTGCTTGGGCAGCGAGAGTAGCGAGAGTGAACCAGAAGAGTAAAGTGGCACTGAGTCAAAAAACTCCCCCAAAAAGTAAAAGATGCTCCACAGACTCTATTATACCCAACAGTTCATCACTAATTATAGTAATGTGATGCATATGTGTTACAGATATACTGAACATAGCAGCAGTTATTAACCGGAAGAGTCTGACAGGGATTAAAAATCTTTTCTCATCTTACCAAGATGGGCAGACGTGGTGAGATAGGGATAACCAACATAACAGATCAAGCAAAGCATGGCACAAAGGAAACAAACAAATTCTAAAACCTGGAATAACTGTTATTATAATTAGGTAAAATGACACCTGTCTAAAATAACTAAGACCAATCTCATGCAACATGAGAAGTGAGACCACCACGGCACCTATTGGAGGTAAGCTCAAGATTAAGATGATGAGCAACAGGTCAGTGTAATCACAGCAGGTAATGGGAGTAGAAAAGCAGAAAACACAAAGCAGGGGCCAGACAGGAAGGCAAAAGGTACCAAAATAAAAGCCAGGAAGTTGCAGAAATAATGACAAAGTACCTACA